GTGCGTGAGCACCTCTTTGAGCGCCATCGAGAAGGACGGAAAGTCTTTGCGTTTGTCATTGTTCAACTTGTAGACCTTCTTGCGGATGAGAGAGTCGGCTGCCAAGAGCACAGCAAGACCCCGATTGTCATGCCGCCACTCCTCAAGTTCCGAAAGGTACTTGAGAGGGCCAGCTTCGATCGTGAAGTCGCAGATGTTCAAGTACTCGAGCGCGATGAAGAAGGCGTGCAGTCGATCCATCACGTCCGAGTCCGATGCGATCGACACCTTATTGTCAGATTGCACGACCCTTAGAAGATCATCGGAAGCCTTAGAGAAACCTGTCGTCTGCACGATGCGACCAGCACGAGTGCGCATCTCGGCCACTTCGTAGAACGCGACCGCGCCGTGGACGAGGTAGTCGCGATGAATCCTTTCCACGAACTTGCGGTGCGGCTCGCGCATGTATGTGAGGATCACGTCAGGGTGTTGATTGACGAAGATCTCCCTGAACTCGGCATGGTCTTCACCTGGAATCTCTGGAATCTTGGAAGGATCTTCTTCCATCTTCGCCCTGCGAGCAGAAATGTGCTCTTGAAGAACGGAGGCAGACTTCCACACAGCAGTGAGCAATGTCAACGAGAGTTCTTGCGCAGGACCGTCTGGCCCGAACTTGCTGTCATCACCCACGATCGCCTTCAGAGTCGCTTTGACCGAGGCGATGCTGTCCCCGAGCATGGCCATGCGCTCGACCAAGAGCATACCCTTGTCTGCCATGAGCAGGCAGAGAGGCTCGGGCAGCTTCTGGCGTCCGAAGATCTGGCGCAGAGCCAGCTCCGGAACCTTGTCTTTGTCGGGGTAGACGGTACGGTCGACCATGATCGCTGGAGCTGGCGGTTTGAGCAAACTCTGAGCGGCACCACCTTAGGATCAAAACAAGGCAGGGCATTGCAGACAGACCGTCGCGTTTGTTCAGACCTCAAAGGCGAGAGCGACGTCAGGCCGAGCACGAGCACAGAGCTTGCAAAGCAATTTGGGATCGGGAAGAACCGACCCAATGTGCACGAACTCGGGGGTGATCGCCCGTTTGCACGCAATCTCCTCTACCGAGTCACTAGAACAAACATGAAATTTATAATCGTAGCTAGATCCTTTCTCAGGAGCTTTCACGAAGAACTCGGTGAGGGTGACGTCGCGGTCTTCGTGGTCGTCGATCTCATCGTCTTCTTGAGCACACTCAGGCGTGAACTCGCGCGAGATCTCTTGCACGAGCTCCTTAATCATCTTTGCCGGCAGAGAGCTGCGCGAGCGCGTGTACTTGAGAACCAGCGGGCCGGGGTTCTTCCAGTTCGCCTGCACACCGATCTCTTGGGCACTGCGATCGAAGTGCACCGCTTGATCAAGCATAGTCACCCGCGCGGAGTGCCACGAGAGGTTGGTGATATTGCTCAGGATGGGCTGTGCGACCTCGTCCCCCTTACCTGCCACGAAGACCAGGTGGTGGAGCCACTGGAGAGATCGAGCGTATTCTGGGCACGTTGGCCGCCAAGAGCTCTTCGAATCCAATTCCGGGATCCAAAAATCCCGCTCGACTAGCGGGAACTCCAGCTCGAACATCTCGAGGCCGTCCTTGAACCAGGAACACTTAGAGAACGCAACATCGGGGACCACGAACTTGGTACCTCGACGTGTTCTCTCTGTCTTCGTTTGCCAAGAGACTCCGAACAAGCCTTCCGACTTCACCTCGAGCTCGTGGGGCTTCACGTGGATGGCGTCATCGAACCGGAGAGATGCGAAGATCATGCACAGGACCCACCACATGAAAATTCGAGCCGGCTTGGGGTGGATGTCGCTGCAAACGAACTTCTCCATGGCGATCACCAGGGGGATCTCGAAAGGATTCGCTTCCTTCAACGGCTTCCCCCTCTGCGTGAAAACGTTCTTCTCGAGCGCTTTCAAAGCCTGGGTGTCGATCGAAGGAAGCTCAAGATTGATACGAAAGGCAACCCATCG